ATTACTACATAAATATTTAGCACCTCATTATTATGGTTTATTGTTTAATTTTTTGATTGAATTCAGTCAAAAAATGATCTAAATTATTAACTGGATATGTTCTTAAATATGAGAACACCAACTCAATCATACTTGATGGAAAAGCTCTGCAAAATGTGGAATCTTTCACGTACTTGAACAGCGTCATCAACTAAAAAGAAGGACCGGATGCAGACGTAAATTCAAGGACGAGGCAAAGCAAGCATCGCATTTCCACAGTTGAAGAAGATATAACACTCAAAACAACTGCCAATCAACTTCAAAGTCAAAATCTTTAATACGAACATCAAAACCGTTCTACTGCATGGAGTTGAAACTTAGAGAACCACCACAACGATCATCAAGAAGATAAAAGTATTTATAAAAAAAATTACGTAAGATATTGGATACCCGTCTAACACATACCATCAGCAACAGCCTACTGTGGGAGAGAACAAACCAGCTTCTAGATAAAGAGGAAATTAGGAGTAGACACTGAAGGTGGAAATTATCAAACTGAATCACAAGACAAGCTCCAACTTGCAATCCTGAAGGGAAACGAAAAAGAGCAATGACGAAGAATACACTTCACCGAGAATGGGAAGCAGACATGAGAAGGATGAATAGCAAGTGGAAGCAACTGGAAAGAAATGTCTAGAACAGAGTTCAATGGAGATTGATTGTGAGCAGCCTATGCTCCCTCACGAAATGTGATAGGCGTAAGTAAGTGAATAATTAATGTTCTTATATGTAAGTTTGAGCTTTTTCTCTTAAAATCTTTTCAAAATACATCCGTACGACAAGTTTTATAAATAATTTGGATTTCAAGTACGTATTTATTTGAAGACAGGTTTAGAATTATTGATAATTCAAAGAATGTTAAAAAGTTATTTCATCCTGATCTTAATTTTCGGTGTATTTTTCAGATGATAGTGCTTGATAAGAATCTTGCTCTTAATCGTACAGTCATTACAATCCATACTAATTTGAAACAGTTACTTAATTACTGTTTCACAGTAAACATAAATACTTAGAATATGTCATACAGAGAGCATCATATCACATAAAGAAAACCACCATTTTCAAACATATAATTTTGTAATGTACTACTGTTCAAGTAATAATCATACTAAAAACAGAAAAAATTAACTGTTTTGATCATGCTCTTTTAAGCACTTTGAATGATTTTCTGTTGTTGATATTTTCATTTCTCGGCAAACATTGGAATTAGCAAGCAGGGTTTGTGGACATTGCCAAATCCCATAGTTTATACCGTAGATTAGTCTCAGACAAGCATTGGATACTGTAGTAAGAAATCTTAGTTCCGATGGGACACCATGACAATTAGGACTCAATGATATCGTATATGAGTAGTTAGCCATCAATAACACTAGATTTTCGCGCAATATTGCTGATTAATTGAAGTCAGGAAGCTTAACAAAATGTGTAGAGTTCGATTCACAACAATTTATCTTATGCCTTCTACTGAGAAATTTCACGCTAGGATAAAACCAGTTGTCCAATGCTTTCTATTTTTCTTACTGATTGTGTAACGGATGTCAAATCATGATGTAACCACCTACAGAATATTAAAATTGTCACAGTGTTGTTTCACATGTTTGTTTAAGTTGCTATTAGTAATCGTAACGAATTAACGTTATTTAGGATACGAATGTAAATTAGAAAATACTGGGCACTTATTTCATCACATTATAAACTTCCTAGTGGTATACACTCATGAAAATGTCACAGATAAACTTCAAGTCTTTCAGTAGTCACGGTCCAATTAAATTGTTGTTCTCTTAACTTACTTGTACTTAATATAAGAAAACCCACACTCATCATGATAAAAATCTCTCAACTATGTTGATATGTTTTGAATTTCTAATCTTTCTTATTTTAAAACATTAATTTCAAAGAACCCTGTATTATTCCACTTATAGAATAGGGCGTTTTATTGCCTTGTATATCTATCAAAATAGTTTCAAATATCATGATTATATTCATATCACATTGTATTCTATTTAGTATAAATATGTATAACATTTACTTTTCACTCAAAGTAGATTCACTAACCTTGATAGAAGTGAGTATTTTTTGCTTAAGAGAAACTCTAGAAAAATTTTCAGTTTACTCAATCATTGTCAATAAAAATAAATACAAACAAACACTAATCAATAAATGGACAAAATTAAATAATGACATCAATACAAGAACTTATTCTATTCACATAATTCAGTTAACTAATAAGATGGGAACCAATACAATAGAATATGAACTAAGTAAAGAAATATGTGTTTATTCAGCTTTTTTTTTTGTGGAAAAAATGCGATAGTTAATCTACTCTTTCATCGTAAACATACCCAATATGGATAGTACGACTTAACTTATAATTGATATTTTAATGATTATAAATTATATTTATAAATAAATAGATGTAAACATTATAGTTTCTATTATTGTTAATAAATTGACGGTTAGATTACATTAGAGTATAAGTGAATATAATGTTTGACCAACGTGAATAGGTCAGTTTTTAATTTGTAGTAATTTCGCTTCGTTATTCAGTCACCGTCGTAACCGTTATTATATAAACTTCAATAGTGTTTAAAATCAGAAGGCAATGAGAGGCGGCAATTACAGTTAATTTGCAGATAGCGTAGATCACAAAACTATGAGCACATTGAGCGGATTTGAAGCAGAGAGGTGAATTAGTTTATACGAACAATTATGTAAGCAAATTTATGGTCAAATTGCGTAAGGGCGCACCAAGACAAAGTAATAGCTAATAATATGATCTGAGTAAATATACATACATGAGGAGGAGTATGAATCATCGAGTAATATTTAAGCAATCAACAATTTAACTAGAGTCTGTCATATGATCTTGTGATCATGACGGTAACACTGCCTGTTAAGTTAATAAAAGGGCTGAACCAAAATTAACCATAGTCGAAAAATGGGTTGTAAGATAGTAGGTATAATTCAAATCACCCGAACTTGACATTGTTACTGGTTAAAATTAAGAAGAAAATGGCAGTTTCTAGTGCTTTAAAATTTTCTAAAACATAATCTATCAATATCTATGTATAATCTAATATTATTACAACCTTTATAACCTTGTAACTTCAGATTGTTGCTCATTTGAAAACTCAACAGCTAATTTATATGCTGATATTTATAGATAATAAAATAACAATCAATAAAAATACTAACAATCTGAAGCCTCAAATTCTAATAACGGATTAAACAAATTGATGATTCAATAAAAGGGGTTTGGACGATGATCCATTGAAGAAGCAACTGATGCCTGTTAGGTTTTATTCAATGAGAATACAGATAATGTTTGTTAGTTTAAGGAATAGGTAGATATATATGAGATTGATAAATGATTTCTGATAATAAATAAATAATAGAATGTGTATCCTTTTAGAAAATTAGTGTTTTCATTATATTAACCTATTCATCAAATAATTGATTATAATTTAAGATGATTAATAGAGTGTTAGAATCAAGTATATTTGAAAAGTAGACTTCATTATTATTTGATACAGTTAATAATTGTTTGTTAACCTATGTACAATTAGAAATGTTAGAAAGTTTTCCTACATTATATAAATGATTTTGAAAGATAAAATGATTTGCATTAAAATGAGATTATTGAATATTTGTTATTGTCACTGAAAACTCCTTAGGAATATGTATCTGATAGCTTAACGAGGATCAAAACCAGGACTCTTCATGATGGTGTACTCATATTCTTGAAAAAACTGTTGTCCATTGATGGATTCATTTGTATAGTACACAACTTTATTGTCTAAGAAATAATCCCTGAGCTATTCGAATAAAGATTGACCACCAGTAGGATTGAGATATTTGCAATTGATTAGTCGTTACATGGTTGTCAGTTTCATATTTGTGTCATCCTTTGTGCTAATCGAATTCTATAGATCAAGTTGTAATGTCGTAACTAGTTTAACTAAGTCGTCATCACGTGTCCTATTTTCAGATGTAAGGTAGTTAAATGTAGTCCGGAAGGTGACTAAACGTCTGCAAACATGACCACAAGTAGACCACATAGTCATTTTGCTAAAAAAATCACTTGTTTACTACGATGAAGTAAAATTTGACAAGTCATAAAGCTTATTTTTTAAAAATTTATCAATTTAACTTTTTGTCCTAAAAATTGTTTAATATAAGTAAATAACTTGAAACTGAAATTCTAAATTAATTGCCACAGTCAGCTAATAAATACATTTAAGTACTATTAACTTGGATAAATGTATGAAGGAAACTTTTAAGATCATGAAATCACTGAGTAAATGTTTTGTTCTTGTTCAGGACATTTCAACAAACTATAATGGAATTAAGCTTAGAAATATCTGTGGTAAAAATGGCACAGTTACTCAAGCTAGTTAATTCGCAATAATTTTATATTGTTCAACGTACATATTTGAGAGATTTCTGTTCACTGTATCCCCCAAAGTTTGTGTATAATATCTGTTCTACTGAAAACAACTGAATAAAAGCCTTAAATAAATTACTCTGCAAGTTTACATAACAAAATACATTAAAACTCTCAAACTAATGATTCGTTCAATCAAAAAGAATATTTAAAGGATACAAACTATTATTTTCTAAACTAATAATGAATCGTATTACGTATTCGTGGAATTGGTTGAAGTTAGACAATAACACCACTGGATACTGACTTAGTGGTCTAGAAGTTAAGAGTTCACACGTAACACCGATAGGTCCTCAGTTCTAATCCCATGGACGGAATCATAAATACCCGCTACTGAGTAGTCCCATACTAGGATGAAACAGTCATCTAATACTTCCAGGTTTAATTGACTCATGAATTCATTTATTAAATAATGAATCACTTTAAATTTCATTACAGTGATCCAAATAAAACATTCATTAAACAAATGAATTTAATATTATTTTATTTAAAAAAAAACAAAATAATTATTACTTACTGACTGCAACTTATTCAAATCTGTCATCCATTTATCTAATTCTGTAAAATCCAAATTAGCCATCGTTTCTTTTTTTTGTTTGTTTGTTATAAATTAAATTTAGAAGTCAATGTAAAGTAATTATCCATATAGTTAGTAGGTATGAGTAGTTATTTAAAGGTATTTACTATGACCATTTATAAAACCGCATAGTTTATTTCATAGAAACATTTATCATTATGATCATTATCAATATTACTATATTCATTTATCCTTTTAAACTCCAAAAGAAGATATACATAATATTCAATAGAGAATGTAATGCATATTATTATTATTTCTTTTTTCAAGGTAATTTTATTATTATTGGTTAAATATTCATTATCAATTTACATCGACTTAATGTTGAATTAATTGCCTGTTTACTGATTGGCTTATTTGAATATATGACCTTGATCATAGAAAGGATTTAATATGTAACAAGTAACATTAGTTTACTCATATTTAATAATAGAAAATACAAAACATACTCATATTGTAAATTATAATAATTTTATAAACTATGTATAATATTCACTTGGTATTGTTTGAATTGTATCTTCCCATTGAGTTTTTTTTTAAGACTACAATTGATCAGTCTGTTATTGGCATGTGTGCATACTGTGCGTATGCCTCGATATTGCCTTAATTCACAAGCTTTTTGTAAGCAGTGATGGATAGTGGCTAGCAGCGGAATCCAGGATGCGCGTTTCGTCCTATTTGGGACTCGTCAGCTGCATGTACATACATCTCAGAGTTGATGTTCACTATGGGACTCGAACCCAGTACCATTCGCTTCAAACGCCATCGCGTTATCCTATCAGCTACTGAATCCTGATAGCCACTTACTTTATTTGTTTTATTCATAAAAGTTAGTTCAATTAAGGAAAAAAAAACAATATTTCAATATTTATATTCAATCTACCTGAATATATTTTTTCCGGTTAGCGTCTATTGTTTTAGCGAGTTACAACTATCATCAAGAAAGTACAAGTATTTATAAATAGTTTTCTACGCAAGAAATTCAACATCCATTGGACGGATATCATCAGTAACAGCCTTCTGTGAGAGAGAACAAATCAGCTTCTAAATGAAGAGGAAACTAGGAGAAATCACTCAAGGTGGATAGGACACATTGAGGAAATCATCAAACTGCATCACGAGGCAAGCCCTAACTTGCAATCCTGAAGGGAAACGAAAAAGAGCAATGACGAAGAATACACTTCACAGAGAATGGGAAGCAGACATGAGAAGGATGAATAGCAAGTGGAAGCAATTGGAAAGAATTGTCTAGAACAGAGTTCAATGGAGATTGCTGGTGAGTAGCCTATGCTCCTCCACGAAATGTGATAGGCGTAAGTAAGTGAATAATTAATGTTCTTATATGTAAGTTTGAGCTTCTTCTCTTAAAATCTTTTCAAAATACATCCGTACGACAAGTTCTATGAATAACTTGAATTTTAAGTACGTATTTATTTGAAGACAGGTTTAGAATTATTGATAATTTAAAGAATGTTGAAAAGGTGCAAGTACCTATGAACAATTGTTTACATAAGATATTGAATACCTGTTGAAGACATATCATCAGCAACAGCCTTCTGTGGAAGAGAACAATCCAGCTTCCAGTTGAAGAGAAAATTAGGAAAAGACGTTGGAAATGAATAGGACATACATTACAGTAATCACCAAACTGCATCACAAAGCAAGCGCTAACTTGTAATCGTGAAGGGAAATGGAAAAAAAGAAGGCCAAAGAGCACATTACGTCAGGAAATAGAAGCAAATATGAAAAGGGTGAATAAGAACTTGAAAGAGCTGAAAAGGATTGCCCAGGACAGGGTTGGATGGTGAGTGCTGGTTGGCTGCCTATGCTTCTCCACGAGGAGTAACAGGTGTAATTCAATTTCAGTTAACTGAATATACCTATAATGAATATAAGTTAGTATTTACATTGACTAACTACACATTTGTCATATGTCAACATCTCTATGATAATTCCCTTTTTTTAGAGAAAATCTAACTTTTATGATTAGACTTAATTGGATTTCTATGTAACTTTAGTAGTAATCCATTCTGTAAAGAAAAAAAACAAAACTATAATTATTTCATTACTTATCACCTCAGTACAGGAATAGTTTTCATGAGTTTATAACTGATTTCCAGTTAGAAACGAATGGCTCAAAGTTAACTTAAAATGACTTTTATTCAAAACAATAAATGGTTGAATAATTTAGCTATAAGTGTGTTGTGAAGATTAGGTTGGTGTGTGAGATGTACCAGTCACCGGTTAATTTCAGTGAGGATATGGAACTCTTCAACAGAACTTACAAATTACTTTGTTAGGCATTACATCTAGGGTCTTCAGGCTTCGAGACAAAGCTCAATCATTAAAATCACTTGATCAGCCAAGTATAGTACAATAATTTTGCGTTCATCCAATATAATTCGTGACTAATATTCTACTCCTGAAGTTGCATGAAATGGTAATTATCACTAACGAACTTACTATCAGAAAATCAAAACACTATTTGTTAATAGTCTCCACATAAAGAGCTTTGTAGAATGTATGGGTACTTAATGCTTATCAAGTTCACAATTGATGAGAAAAAGTAAATAACGCTGTGATATAGTGAAAATAATATTTTATAATAGTAAAATTACAGAAAGCCCTACCTCACAATGTCCATTCTCTCTGAAATATACTCTATTGAGAATTCGTTATTTTTTTTGTTCAAAGTGATACTTTAACCAAATTATTTAAATAATGATTCATTAAATGATGTGGATTTTTGTGTCGTTCGATTGGCTTACAAGTCCCAGTAATTTTATTTATGTATGCATTATTGCCGTTGCATTCACTTTTCAAGGAAGACTGCATAGGAATACAATTTAAATGATCTAAAATCGTTCATAACCGTATTCAAGGCTCGATTTCGTACCAAAAAAATATAAGTGATTTTCAGTCATGTATATGAAATCTTGATGCGATTTTTGGATATTTTTCACAAAATAATATAAACCTGTTCAAAACATGGAACACTCACAGTCTCAGACATGGGACGTCACAACACACTCACGTTTCGGTAATATATACTTATAATAGGTAGGCAGCATGAATTGACAGTAAGAAGACAAGTGCACCAGAAGTGATGAGACTAATACAGTACAAAAGCTCCAGACAATAGTTCAATATGTGAAGTGTTTGAAAATTAACATTGATATCTCATCATGTTTACAGGGTGAAGACTTGTTAAACAGAAGTGTGTGTGTGTGGAAAGGGCTCCTCTGCTTGCCAATACACACACTTATGTAGTTTTATGCCCATCCGCTACATTATAAATCTAGTTCAATGTTTCGCAAGCAGAGTGAAAAGATCTGCTCAGACAATATCACAAGGAAGGAATTGGAGTTTTTTATAACAAACTGGCGGAGATAAGCTACCCGAGCAATTATTAAAGTAGCATGTGTATTCGGGGAAAAGTAAGTTGGAGATATTGACTACTCGTAAGAAAATCCTATTGCTAAGACTGCAATTCAAGGAGGGAATAATTAGGGATGTTCTACATGATAGATTGGTAACAGCAGTTAATAAGACATTCTAAGCAGCTAATATTGCATTGACGTTTTACAGATAAGTTATATCTACTTGAACGAAGGATAATTTATCTGAGTCTGGCTCTTCGATGTGCATCTACAAATTCAGCTGCTCTTGCGGAGATAGCTATATAGAGTATACTATCAGACAACTTAACTAACGAGCGGGTGGTCATCTCTGTGGTTTAGAAAGAACCGGACGTAGACGATAAATAGCTTTATATTGGCATTGCTAACTGATACCATTTATGTGGTAGATAAAACCAAACTCTTTTTATTGATCTGACATATACCTTCGACGATTGCCAATGGGATTATATCCCGTTTCTTACACATAGGCAAAGCTATAGAAATCCAAGAAAATAATCCTACTTTGTATGTTCGGAAGAAATTTGTGATACGTCTGTCGTCCCCTTGGCCAGATATGAATTTGTTTTCTTTTTCATTTTGAAGTCTACTTATCCCAGTTTAAATTACGTTTTATGTTGGTCACATAACTACTACTAATACTACAGTAACGAAACAATTTTTATGTCTAATAATATAGAAAAAGAAGAAAATACAAAACTCGTGTTGTTATTTCTTTTAGTATTATCCCATATATCTTTAGTGAGCCATCATCCAGTAGATACAAATGTCTATTAACAGTTGTTTACACAAAATACTTCGGATCCGTTGGCCAGACACTATCAGCAACAACCTACTGTGAGAGAGGACAAACCAGATCTCAAGGGAAAAAGAAATCAGGAAGAAGCACTGGAATTGGGTAGAATACACATTGAGGAAAGCACCCAACTGCATCACGAGACAAACTCTGACTTGAAGTCCTCAAGGTCAAAGGAAAAGAGGACGATCAAAGGACACATTACGTCGAAAAATGGGAACAGAAATTAGAAGAATGAAGAACAATTGAATAAAATTAGGAAGCAAGGCGGAGGACAGAGTGGGTTGGAGAATTCTGGTCGGCGGCCTATGCTCCATCGAGAGTATCAGGCGTAAGTATGTAGGTAAATAATATTAGAAATGACCTCATTATGTGCCTATTTAAAGTTATCATAAATGTTGAATTACCGTCATGCCTTCTAGTTATATAATCATATAATTTACAAGTCTAAGTGGTGAAGATACTCGTAACTATTCATAGGACGGGGTTTTAAATGCATGAGTATTTCACGTGACCTGCTAATCATATGGTAAAATATAACAACAGAATTATTAGATTCATTGTGTGTGGTATAAACAAAAAGATAACAGATAACTGAGTAAGGAATACATCAATGATATTTACAATCGTAATCTGGTATCAGAATTAGTTATTTCAGTTAACCGTATCTACATCCTACAAATGATGTCTACGCTGAAATTCAAATGTTTCTGGTAACAGAAATTCATCTATCAAAATCATAACAAACATTGATTTCAATATGATATTTCTTCTTTTATTTGTGAGAGTTTTACTTTCTCGGTACGCAACTGAATTCACTCAAGTGCATACAATTAACCAACCTAGAAAAGTAGGAAAGTGTTTTTTTTTCCACCGAAAACAATCAACTATTTAAAATCAACCATTATCCAAACCATATCCAAACAGAGATTGGAGAAAACACCCAAACAAAACACATACTTTTACAAATAATAATAAAAACATAAATAAGTGT